ATATTGTTAAAGAATCAAATTCATTTTTTTTATGAACGAGTTATATAAATTAATTCAAAACAATAATAAAATGTAGCTAATAGATTTACAGGAACATGCACTTTATAATTATATAAAAATTTATTTAAAAACATAAGATAATTAAGTTACAATTCGCAAAAAGCCGTGCCCGGATACTTTCTTCAAGGGAGTGTAAGTAATTGATTTCAATAAATTAAAATTGGATTAGTACTTACTAATGCGTGATGTGAATTTATCATTATTTTTGCCTCCCCAGGTTCAAGAAACAACTAACTCCAAATTTCAATATTATACTAACTATGCCAATAACTCATAATTGTCATAAGCTCAGAATTATGGTAATGTAGACCATTATCTGATATTACTTTGATCTATTTGGATTTTTTATTTATTGTTTCAAATACTGCTTCAAATGCTGATATTGTGAACCAAGCAACTTGTTTGGTATTCAATAACCAATAGTCATAAGCTTCAATATTTAATGTATTTGAATTTATTTCTCGCATAAAAATTAAAATAATGTGTAAGGTCAATCCTCGCATTTCAAAAAATCTTGCTTTATTTCACGTACTAATTGTGATAATATTTGCATTTTATAATCAGCAATAATAATTGCACCACTTGAATCTAACTCAGCTAATATGGCATTAAACTAGGAATTTAAAAATACTTTGCGTGTTTAATATGAAAGATAGTATAACAGGTACTTTTTTGCTTTGATAAGTTGAGATTGAAAAAAGTTGATTATATTTCTCACATTATGTTTTATGCTTATTATTACATTCTCTAAATACATACGGTAAACAATGAGAAATACAAGGATCATTAATAACTTGATCATCTAGATTTAATTCTTTTTCAAAACCTTGCTTCAATTGTCTTTTCAGTTTATCAAGTTGGTCAAGAACCATAATCTAAATTATCTTTGATAAGTAATTTATATATTATTGTATATAAAAAGCAAATATAATTCAGTTTTAACTAACCATAATTGTTTTGTTTTTGAAATTAATATGTATTATGTTAGCCAAATTCACAAATATTTCAAATCTGTAATCATTACATATTTGCTATAATCCTCCAAGATTATCACGGTATTTCAGATTAGTAGAATTTTTTAAACGCGTCATAAAAGTTGATCATTTCATACCATTTGGATAAGTTTCAACAAAGTTATTTCATAATTCACACTTTTGATCTCAAAGATATAGAACTGGTAATCCTGACATTGGTATTGGTGTTGGTATTAGTTAGTAATACCTAACGAAATTATCTTTCTTACTATGATGAAATTGATAAAACTGAAATGACAAAATTAGTTTTTTATTAATGACGAAATTATTTTACTTAATTGCCAAAATAATATTTAACTTGATCTAAATTCCTTGAATTAAAATACATTAAAAAATATAATAATTTTATATTTATTCATATAAAAATATTAAAGAGACGAAACTTTTGACGAAATTACAATTTTTCAAAAAAGAGTTTAGCCAGGTATCACTATTACAAATGCATTTTTCATAAAAATATATTTTTTTTATTGAAATTATATAAATTATACCTTTAATATATTTTCATTATAAAATTATATTCTAAATAAATTTTTCATTAAAAATACATTTTAGAAATTTTTTTGTAATTTGCATATTGAGCATATTTATTTATAAATAATATATTTTTGATATATTTATTCATAAATAATGTCTTAAATAGACTGATGAATAAGTCAAGTCAAATTAATTAAATGACTTGATCTGACTTGATAAGGTTAAATCAGATTAGATATAAAATTAATCTAAATTAAATATATATTTAATCTAATTAACCTAAACTGTATATCATATGATTTTAGATCAGATCAGTATAATTATATTTGAATTAATAAGACTTGTTTAAAAAAGGAAATTTTTTGTATTATTAGTTTAACAGTATTTATTTTAAATAAAAATAATTTAATTTAATTAATATAATTAATATGAAATTAAACAATGATTTAATTTTGTCTAATATTTTTTAAAAAATATAAAAAAACATTGATATATTTTTATATTTTATTATTTTAGTAAAATTTTCAAAAAAAAAACAAAAAGATTACTATATAGTAATTAATTTTTTAAAATTGCTATTATTTATTAACTACTAAATTTAAATTACAAGTTGTGATAAGTCTGTAAAACAGATAACTGTTAATACTATAATGAAAATGTTCATAACTTTGTAATCATTAATCTAATCAGAATAAAAAATTAATATTCAAATATTTTTGAATCTGTTAAATAATATTACTTTGATGCATAAAGTCAATTCATTTAACCAAAATATTTAAATTACTTTTTAGATTATTGAATAGATAAAAAAATAAAAATTTTATGAGATAATATAAATATTTTTGAATATACTTAATAATATTACTTAAATATCTAAAATTACAATTATATTAACAATAAAATATTTTTAATTTTTTTTTTATCAATAGAATTAATAGAATTATTTTAAAGAGACATAATCATGTAACAAATAGGTTTTTACCACCCGAAAAGATTCTTTGTCATTAGGTTAATCTTTTACGCCAAAAATCACGTGGTGTGAATATTATTGACGAATTACATCCAATTATACAATAAAATAGAAATTAAACTTCCTTGGCCAACAAACAAAATTAGATTTTTTCATAGTTCTTTTTTTTGACGAAACACGTGCAGAATAAAAGAAATCAATTCATTGACAAATATCATTACTTAAACATTGGCCTTGATGTCATTTGCATAAATTGCATAATTTGCTGACAAAATTATTATCAAATCCAATATTTATAATGGAAAACTTTTCTATCTTTCATATTACGTCGAAGTCTTTGAAATAAAAATTTTTTACATTTTTTTGTTTAATTAAAAATAGTCTTTAAGCGAAAATCATAATCTAATTTAAGGTATTTCTACAGGATACTTCTGAATGGCGTTTGTTTTCAAAAAAAATTAAAGGAAATTTATTTCTCTAAGCTTAGTATTTTTAGAAATTGATAGAAAAATAAATTTGGAAATAAATCGAAGAAATATTCTAATTTAAAATTATCAGTAGGAATAAACGCCTAATAAGGAAAGTATGAATGAACTTTTAAATTAGATCTTTAAACAATTAAATTGTAAAGTTTAATGAATTCCATTTTCGTCAAGCGCAACATCATTAATCGGAATTTATCTTCCGATGTACTTTCTATTTTCGTTTGTGTAAAATCTAACGAGAAATTCTCAAGAAAAATCTGATGAGTACCTTACAAGTGCTTGGCGCCCCATCATTTGGCAACCCTCAAAAACAAACAATCGAAAAAAGAATGATTTAATCACAATCAAACAATGGTGAAATTGATTTATTAATTTATTTATTGAATACAAAATTTATTAGATGTGATATAAAATTATAATATGAAATAAAGTGAAAGTATGTAAATTGAAAATCTAAAAGTCGGATTTATAAATTAAAAAGTTAAAGAATGCTTATATACATTAAAAGAGGGCATTGCATTTCGCTTATTAAAATTCGATTTTGATTCATTTCTTTCCTTCATAACGAAGGCCAAACCGCGTTTATTGCCACATTCTGGAAGACCCTCATGTTCATCACCCCAAATATTATCTGCAACGGATTGCTTCAATTTATGATGTTCGAAATAATCAATGAAAATCTTGACCATCTTTCTCCAGCATGGATCGCATTGGAATGATTTTGGAACAGGGATTTTCGTTCCATCTCCTTTGATGACGAATTTGTGATCGTGACTAACAATAGCCTTTTCATCAGCGTAAGTTGCCTCCTTCATCCAATTAACGAATTTCCTGATGAATTTTATACTGCAGAATTCTGTAAGATGATGAAAAAAAGATTTTAATTGACGTGGTAAAAAAAGTTTTATGATCACGAAGGATATGATAATTATATTTATTACATACCATCATTGTTTTCCTTTAAGCAAAGAGCTTCACGACTTGGGATTCCAGTGTAGTAGACGAGTAAAGTACCATAAGCTGCGTAAGCGGTTTTATCAGTGAAAGTTCTAGGATCTTCACTCCAATCAAATTTAACCGATAATTCATTGGAACAAACTTCTTGAATTTCGTTGTAGATTTTTTCGGCTTCATTTTGTTTACAATTGAATCCTTGATGACAGTAATCAACAAGACCTTTCTCAAAGTATTGAAGATCATAAGGTTTGGGAGTATCATTGGCATCCTTGATAGCTTGGAAAATCTTCTTTCCCAAATTGATAGCCGTAGCACATTGTCCAGGGTTTTCGAAATGACTCCACATTAGCTTTTGACAATCGTTACAAGCATTGGTTTCGAATGCTTCTTCACAACTTTTCGGAGTTTCGTGTTCCCATTCCTCGAAATCGTCGTAATCGGCTTGAACTTGGATTATAAAAATTGCGAATACCGCAACGAGAAGAAGATTTTGAAGTTTCATCCTTGGTTTATTTGTTAAGATCAATTTTTATGTTATCTTTTTTTTTATAATTTATTTACTTTTGGAGAAAGTATTTAACACTGGATCGTGGTGATGAGAATATCTTGGATCGAGCGAAAAGGTAGACCTTTTATATATCTTCAATCTCTGCGCCGTCTTTCCATCATCAGAATTGTTGTGTAAATAAAAATATCTTTTTTTTTGTCATCCCCATTTAGTTATAGCAGCTTTAAAATAAAAAAAAAAAATTTTTTATTATACTTGATCGAAAATTCCCATGATGAAAGTGTAAGATGATCAAGATTACATATTTTAGTTATAATAAAAATTGGAGTAAGGTTTATCTGCAGCCCAATTACAAACTACATCCTCACCAACCCACTTTTAGAATAAATTTTTGAGCCGCATTATTGTTTTTTCACAAATTATTTTTTATAATATTTTTTTATTGTGTAAATGAGATCGGGTGACTCACGAGAATCGATGACCCTATCCCGACAATAAGTCGTTATGGACCTTCCAAATAAAATGAAATATTAGTGGCCGGTCTAATTGATATAGGAAAGCCTCTCCAATTGTTAAAGTAATTTAAGTAATTTCAAAGTGTATTTCATTCAGATAATAGAATTATGCAGAGTTAAAAATATCTTTTGTGTAACGACTGGTTTATTTAAAGCCATTAGAAAAAAATTCTTATTTTAAGCATCAAAAAAGCCAAAGTAAAGTTGTGTTTATTAAACCTTATTGAGGTGCATGAGAAATGGTTGTTTCCCAGGTTTCTACCAAATCTTGTTTTAAGCTTTTTTATTGTTAATATTGATATATTTCTTATGCGAACGCGATTTCTCCTTTTTTTCTTTTTAATAAACCTTTAAAACGTCTTAGACTTTGGCGTAAGTTGCACTATGAGGTCAAGGATATGGAATTTTACCGTCATTCAACGTTCAACAATGCAAGATTCTTTTTTTGTTGTTACCATAAAAATTTCTACAAAGAAGTTTTTTTTTTTTTTCGAAAGTTCTTTATCCACAATACGCGGATTTTTTTTTGAAATTTCCCAAATAAGTATACATTGACATACTGTATTAAATGTTTGGATGAAATTCTTTTTTTGCATAACAAGTTTGAAAACAGGATTGGCGTACTTGAAATTTTCTAATCAGAATGTTTAAAAAATATGTATCAAAGTAACATTGGCACAAAGTAAAGTCAGAAAGGATAAATTGAATCAATTTTTTTTTTCATTATTCTTACCAAAATAATCATTCCCCAAAAATCACGATTCAAAGCATATGAAAAGCACTTTTGCAAGCCGCAGAGCATTTTCCGAGTATTATTACAACTTGTTACATGGATCTACAAAATCCAAGCCCGGATTTAATTATTCAATTTTTTTTGACGGTGTATTTTTTTTTAACTATATAAAATATTATTATTATCAGAAAAATATTACAAAAAATGGAACTCATTTAAAAATGAAAAAATGAGAAATATAAAAGAACAATACCGAAAAATCAATCACATATCAACAAATCAACAAACAATTACTCATAACCATTTAGACGCATGGATTTAATTAACTTTATTGTTCTAAAAGACTTCAATGGGCAAATGATCGAATTAAAAGAAAAAAATGATATTGTTCATTGAAAAATTACTTCATTTTGAACCATATGACCCGAGAAAACTGCGCATTGCAATTTTACAATTTTCTTTTGCGCGGTATCTTTTGCCGCAGCTTTAGTTGATTTTACAATTTTTATTATATAAATACAAATTGCAAAATTTCCTTTTTCTTTTCAAGCATATAACTACGACTAATTTGTCAATATAAAAGAATTTTGCATTTATGTATGAATGTAACACAAAAGTCTATTAGACTCGGCCGTTATTTCAAAAAACAACACCAAAAAACTTTTTTCCGCAGCTTTTTAATTACACCATTGAATTATATACACATATATGGTTTCGAAAGTTCGCGTGTTTCATTATACCATATTGAAATTTATACTAGTTGTTTCAATTTTCTATTGATAGATGAATTATAAGCGGTTAATAGTCGTTGGCGTCACGTTTTCCCGACTTCCAAATTTGTCATTTCTTGCAGTGAGTGAATACGCTAATATTTTTAGAAAATATGCGATGTTATCATTATGCTAGATAAAAACCAATATCAAAGAAATTCAAGCTCATTCATAATTTTATGAAGTAGACAACAAACTTTAGGTAAAATTACTGATTCTGATCTGATTTAACAAGAAATAAAACTAATCGTTTACATTTTATTTCGGAAATTAATGAAATATTGAATTTAAGTATTTCTTAATGTATCATGGTGGTCATATTCGAGAATTTTTCGACTGATTTTCACACCAAATTCAAGTTAATATTGTTAAATCGTTCATCAAAATGATGAAACTTTCGTGGTTTATGACTTTGCATGTCTTGAAAATGTCGGTGCGAACCTTAATACTTTATTAACTAGTGATGGCTAACGGTCTTTTGACGACTTTTTGACTAACCGGTTTCTGACCGACCAATTTGAATTGGACTGGCAAAAGATTTAGGTTAAAATGTTATTTATTACTTATTAATTCCACAATAATATTATTGATTAATCATTAATTAAAAAAGATTTAACATAATTATTTAATTTGTGATAAATAACCACATACCTCGTGACTGAACTAAACTAACTGTGTTTAGGCATTTCACGATTGGCGTTTTAATCAATTAGTATAATTAGTATAATTATATAAAATTATTCTGCCACATTAAATAATATGAAATAATATCGATATGACAATATTTATCTATATTTTTGTAATTTACCAAAAATATTACGTAAAAAATGCTTTAGAAAAATAAGCAACGTTCCCCAGAAAAATACAGTATAAAAAATATCCGTGTGCGAATATAGCCTTTTCATCCACAGAAAAAAAGCTACTAGTAAAACCAACACCAAACATGAACATAATTTTGAATTTTTTTTATTTTTATATTTTTTTTTTTAAAAAAAAAGGGCAAATTGATAAGGGGAAAATAGGTTAATTAAAACGGTTGTCTATATGTAAACTTTAAACTGCACTTTATATAGGATGCACAAGAAAATAAACTCTTTATCGAGAATTATGAGCAGACGGTAGAATTATTTGAGACTATAAAGTTAGACCCTTCAAGAAATAAATCGAATTCGAACAGGTCTTCCCCAGATAATCTGGAACAAACAACATCTGTAGCAATCCTCAATGAGAATAATGAGAATACAGTGAATACAGTATGCATGCGTTTTTTCAATGTCCTATGAAATTATTTTCGTCATTTTAATGACAATATCTTTACTAAAACGGTTTCCAGTGGTTGGGGTGAGATTGAAGAACAGGTAAATACACAATGACCCGAATGATTGGTGTTAACATTTTTGATCGATTAACAGACTTCTAATCACAAAAACCCCTCTCATGTGGACGTTTGCATCGGAACGTGTTTAAATTGAATGAAAAAAAATTTTTTATGTGCTATTAAATAAAGTCACGAGACTTAGTAATTCATATGATCCGAACGAGATTATAATAGCAACCGTCCATATGTTCTGGGTCTGTTACAGGCCCATACCAACCTCTACTCGAAAGATAATTTTAAGAATTTTGCACTTGATGTAACCGAAATATAACTTTGATTTATAGCCAATAGAAGAAGTGTCGGAATATATTACCCCATTTTTTAATTTTCCATACTATGTTGAGACGGTATTTGTTCAATTTGTTTTACATGCAGGGAATGCTTGCAAGTATGCATGCTAACTTAAATATCCTATTTTATAGACTGGCTTCGATGCGAAGAATATCGAGCAGGCAAAATGTTTACAGCATATTTTACCCTTTTGTAATTTCTCGAATTCTCGCTAATTTTTATTCTTATAGATTACCGAAATAAGCAACTACTACAAAATGAGGATTATTTAGTATACGGAAATTGGTCATGCCAATGGCCAAGTAAGTGCAGAAATGAAGACGGATGGCAAGTCCGATATTCTCGGGAATCACTTGAAACGTATCGAAAGTTATCTCCAAGACTTCAACACGGATTTTTCACAATGCCATGCAATAAATGCAAAAATAGAAACATGATCTCGAGCTTTCTTTTGTACGACCAACATTCAAGGCATTTATACGTAGGTCGAGTTAATTACGGAAATGTTTTGCCGTTCAGAAAAATGATTTCTTTTCTATTTTAAATTTCCATAGAGTGAGCCCTCCATTGAGATAATCTGTCCTCATCTCAACTACTTTGTAGAGACGGTATTTGTTCGATTTTTAATAAAATGCAGGGAATGCTTATAAAGTATGCATGCTAACCATTATGTCCTGTTTTAATAGACTCGATTTAGGGAGGAGGATATCCAGCAGGTCAAAATGATTATAACATACTTTAACCCTTTTGTGATATGTCAAAATTTCTCGCATTCCCGCTAACTTTTATTCATATAGATTACCGAAATCGTTAATCTTCTACTACTGTATGATGACTTTATAGTGTACGGAAATTGGTCATGTCAATGGCCAAGGAAGTGCAGAAACGAAGACGGATGGCAATTCCGATATTCTCGGGAATCACTTGAAACGTATCGAAAGTTACCTCCGAGACTTCAACACGCATTTTTCACAAAGCCATGTGAGAAATGCAAAAATAATTACCTGATCTCGAGCTTCTTTTTGTATGATCAACCACCAAGGAATTCGAACGTAGGGAGTTGATTACAAAATTGTATTTCCACTCAGAAAATATATTTCTTATATTCTACTTTAAATTTCCGTAGAGTGAGCCCACCATCGAGATAATCTGTCATCTAGAATGGAACAATCATTATAGAGTGATCGCCGAATGGGAATGCAAAGCGTATTCTCATAAATGGCATAGCTCTTACACTTGGATATCTCTCCGAAAGTTTATCGAACAAACTCCAGCAGAAGATTTGATCCCTGACGATTATATCATCCAAAAGTGCTTTAAATGCAAAAACTCTTGCAACGAATATAAATGCGTAATGATACGCAAAAAATGCGATAATTGCAAGAATGCTACCCAACGATGTTCTGTATGCCGTGAAAGACGCAGGGTGTACCAGGGATGTAAGAAATGCGATCATGATGGAATTATAATGAATTACGAACCTTTGGTACAATCTGATTTGGATGGTGGTGTATCTCATAAAAGTGAAGTATGTGCAAAATGTCAGGGAGGTGTATATTGTGTTCAAACCGATTACCTCCACCGTACTCAGAAAGAACGAAACATTAACTTATTGAATTGAGATTCCGCGATACGATGCGAGTTGACGTAAGTGAAAATTTGAAATCATTTATAAGACCAAAAATTATTTTATAACCATTTTTTTTAATTAAAATATACTGTCGAAATATTTTAAATATATATTATTATTTAATAAAATTATATTATATTAAACGCAAATTTATGACATTTTTGTGATCACTTATATTCTTAATAAAGTTAAATCAAAAGTAAAAGTTATAATTAATAGTTTTACAATTTGGGAATTCAAATATTTGCAGAAAACTAAGCAATTTAAGGTGAAGCATCAAGAATAAAAATTTATTTGCTAAAAATATTTCTTTTAATATTTATCATTAAACGCTAACCCAACATAATCACCAATAAATCTAGGCAGAGTTATGAAAAGCAACAGTCGAAAATTATTTCGTGTTTTAGTTTTGTGTATGGTGAGAAAGTGCAAGCTTTTGAAAATTCGAGTCATTTTGATAAACTTTGCATTATAGTTTTAGTCCTAGCTTCAAATATCCGATATTAGATCAGAAGTTTATAACAGGATAGTTAAGATGATTTTAAAAAAATATTACTCTGTAAGAAGATTGGTTGTTTTATATGAATCTGAAGTTATTCTGTTACGACAGACAGATTGTTAGAGTCAAGTAATCTGGACTGGTGAACGTCCAAAATATAGTTGCCTGACGAAACTCCTGAGTTTAGACAGACCGTCGAATGTCGAAAGTGTCAAAACCTTAATAAAATCATATAAACTAACCTGTCGAAACCCGTCGAAACCTGCCAAACTATATTAAACAGTCGAAACTATATTAAGGACTTATTAAAAACCTGTCGAAACTAGAGGTTTAGACGTTTCGACAAATCCAAAATAGGCAACTACTGTATATTCCAAAGTTTGTGGTGGAATTCCATGATAAATTTTTTATATTTATAATGTAGAGCTGAGCTCTTATTGATGACATCATGATTCCACTACATTTCTATTCAATAGAAAATTTTTGCAAGCGCGCAAATTGAATGCACACTTAATCGAGAATATGATGCCGAAATTGTTATAACCAGAGATTTTTAGCGGAATTTACTTATATTTCAAATAAAAAGGATTAAATTTCTACTGTACTTTGCTTAGCATAATTTAACATGCAGATATTGGACAAGCGCCACAAATTTCATATTGATATTTAACGCACGACGATATTTAGCAAGTTACAAAATTAGGAAACTTTGTCCTAATTGTAGACTTTAAATCTTTTTATGAGAGTTCTTAAGTCGCTAGGAAATTTCGCCATAATTTAATAATAATAATTATTTCAATCATTTTTATCCTGTTTTTCTTACCGGTCGAATATTCAGAGCGATTTTATCGAATAAGAGTGATTTACAGTAAAAATAAATCTTTTAAATTAAATAAGTAAATAAAATCTAAGACTAAATCAAAAAAAAAAGAAAATAATTGAATATGCGATATCTCCGTTGTGACCGTTCATGAAATGGAATGACAGAAATTTGACTTTAATAGATAAAAGTGACCTATATTAAATATAAAAGATGAAAATGTTTTCAAGGAAAAAAAATTATTGGCTTTCATCATTTCCAACTATTAAGTATTCGGTTCTTAAAATGTTCATATTTTAATTTTCCTATAAATAAAATAAAGAAATATAAATAATTTATTTTGTTCAAATAGCATCTTTTTCGATAATAAATCTTCTGAGATACTTCGTCAGTCTCTTGTTAATCGATAATTTATTAATATTGTTTTTTTGATGAACCAGATGAACCACTCGGATAATAATAACTTTTCGAGTTTAGAGATTGATCCACAAGATGTAGTCTGGTTTAAATTCAAACATGCAATCCATTTATTTTGTAGGTAATTATCATCGAGCAAAATGGGTCAAATCCGAAAGTCAAAAATCCTTAAGGGTGATCCCGAATATCATAATACTTTTTTTTAAAACTCTTGTCCGTTTTTTTTAGCAATCTACAATTATAAAGTAATTTAATAAGAAGCAAAAAGCGGAAATTAATTATTAAAAAGGTAGTAATTTTAAAATTATATGGTGCCGGAAGTTTCAAATTTTCGGCAACGATCTTTTATCACGTGACAAGCAAATTGTCCAATGAAAAATCAGTAATTTGTGTAACTTAGAGGTGATTAATTTAGAATATTGACACCCGACAAAATTTTTTCAACCTTGACCACAAGCATCGTCGCCAACCATCAAAATATTATATGGTGTACCAAGGATGGTAAAAAATCTCCTAACTATTTTTGTTCGGTCATTCAAGCTTCTTTAATAGAGGTTAGTAATATTGAAGTTCTAGATTTTACTTAAAATAGGCGATTGGGAAAGAAATCTGTCAAGAAATTTTGACAAAGCTGAAGAATAATCTAAAAGCTAAGTATTAAACTTTTTTAATTTATTTATTATAATGCTATTATAATACTATTATCTTACTAATCATCCATTATTTTTTAATATTTTCGGGCAATCTGCGATGTGACTTATATTTATTAATGGCCCATTCGGCGGTTCTGCCCTCTAGCCCTTTACAATATGTATCTATGGATCTCTAAGATTTGCTTGCGAATTTGCGAATAGTCATAATAGAAACGCTATCAAGAGTTTTAGGAACATGTTTTAATAAGTCTGCGTATTTGTAACCACATAATCTTCTAACTTCTCATTTTACGAAGCCCCAGTACCGCTCTATAAAGTTACATTTACAATGAAACTTTGGATACCGTTCAAAAACATGCCTTAATCCAACAATAGTCTTTTCTAATGCTGATCGTTGCTCAAAAAAGTCAGGTTGCAAAGATATTATTCGTCATGCACAGCAATTCAGTCTTGTTAAGTCATCATTGGCGTCTTTTCCAAAACATTTTTTGCATGTTAAATTAATTTTTTCCTTAGGCCAAAGATTACATTCCTCAAGCATTCTTTTAATCCCCTTCGGTTGTCCTCTTAGCTTTTCTACTGGGTAATCATTTGGAAATATTATAAATTGAATACATTTATCTTCACGTTCATCGATATACAACCCATTATGCATTTTAGGTTACGTTCCCCCGGATCCTAAATTCATTCTTGTTGCAATTAATGCATCCTCTGCCATAGCATTATGATTGGTCGATTGATCAAAACAAAAAACGCCAATGCATCTGAGATGCAATATTTCAAATATTAGAATTGCTCTTTGCATGAGCTGTATCATAAAAAGTAAGGTAAGTTAGTTTAAAATTTTTTTTCTCATTTATTATGCATACATAAAAAAAAATTAACCAAACCTGTTCCATCATATGTTCTGAGGTCCAGTATCTATCCGCTTGTACAGAATGAAGAATATAAGCATTTATATCTTTGACATGCGGATATTCCTGTAATTGTTCGTCAGATAGTTTTAATGACCCATGACATGCACAAAGGAAACCTGAGACCATTATAGAACGTCACAAGTATTTTGGACGTATAACATCTTCTTCCTCTCCAATCCAAATTCTTTGTCATCCATCATTGGCATAAAAGTGGCATTCATTGTGTGTTACTTAAACAAGCTCCTTTTCTCCTGATTTAAGTTCAGGTTCTAATATAACTTCTAGCATATCACCATCAAATTCTTTCATACATTTTTTATATGTGAACATTCTTTCTAACCATCCTTTTCTATATTCTACTACATCTGGTCTTTCATGCCCATCGTAATAAACACCTTTTTTCTTTTATCATACTTATATCCCCATAGATCATATAGTTTTGGCATGTTTTCTTGGAAATGATATATTTTTTAATACTTCCTGTTAATTTTGGAAATAACGTTTCTTCAATATATATTTTTAGATTATAATAAGAACGGATTTCTGGTGTCTGCTATCATAATCATACTTGACAACCTTCAATAAAATCCTCATCATCCAGCAGGTTTTCGATTTTCATATGCTTCCCTTGAGAATAGATAGGAAGCTCACCAGTTTGTATATAGTAACTTCCTCATTTTCTAATGCATCGAACTATATAATCTCCTTTGTTCCATATAACTCGAGCAATTTGATTACTAGCGGTCATTTTTTCTTGTCCATCTATTAATTGTTATATAAATGATGCACACCTAGAAGACGTATATAATCATAGGTAAATATATTATGATTCTCTTTTTTAGATTTTCCTATTGAACATAATTGATTAAGCTTTTCTAAATACACAATTAGATCTGTTTTTGTATTAATTGGCTGTGATGATCTAATATTTCCAGACACTGGTTGGAAAAAGGTATCAATTCTTTTTATTCCTTTAGCATGTTCTTCTAATTCTGTTCTTTTCTTTTTTTGCCTCCATTGTGTCATTCTTGAATTTCCAGTATATGCTGCTCTAATGCTATTTGTAGCATTCTCATGCCGATAGAGTGATTCAGTAATGAGTTTCTCTCCAATTTTTTTAAATGCTTGAAAGTCTTATTCTGCCCAATCTTCAATGGTTTTATTCTCTGTAAATTCTTCGATAACTTTATCTTCCATCCAGTCTTCAATAGATTCTTTGTCAACAGCATCTTCTATTGTAGCTTGATCTTGAGACACATAATGTTCTTTTTTGAGGTATTTGGCTAATTTGCTGTTGTTTTTTTTGTTTTACATGGCATCTTAGAAAAAATGAATCTAAATGTAAAAAAAAAGACATTGGCTAAAGAAAAAAATTTTAATTTATTCAAATTAAAAAAATATTTTCCGAGTTTCCGAGTATAATTTATTAATAATAATTTGGGCCGGCACTAAGTTATTATAATGTTGGCCTAAATTATATAAACTTTTGACCAATAAAATTACATTCACGTGATTTGATCTGTTTCAAATTTAAGCCAATCATATAAAATCATCTGATTTCAAAAGCTTATAACTTTTTATGTAGACATTATTTTAAAAATTTTATTTTTTTAAAGAGTTAAAAGATTTTTTAGTGTTACAATTTTTATTGTCGGGTTAAGATTTCCAGCACCATAATATAATTATGGTTAGCTAATTATCGTATCGCACGAAATTATTAAATGTTTATTAATCGATAGGATAACGATAATGTATTATAAGATTTCGCAATTTTCATCGATCATTTACAAAATATTATAAAATGTGGTCAAGATAAAGATTTTTTTGCTAAATTTTAAAAGCAATAATTTAATAAACACAAATAAACTTCGTTAACTAGTTATAGAACTCTTAAACCTAGTATTTATAATATTTCTTAAATAATCCGTATTTTCAAAGGAGAAAAATGATATTATTATTCGGGATTATGGTAATAATCGTCCCTTGATTATGACCTCGGGACTTTAATCTTCAGTATTTCGTACCAAACCCGAGAGAAATATCTTTAACGGTCATAATCAAGTATTAATGTCATAGTGAAAATTTATACCAAAAATTAAACAATGTTCAAAAAAAACCAAAAATTTTTATTTCTACCAATTTGCATGAATTGCCTTTGAAACATAATCATTGTCATTTCTATAATTCTATTCATATTTAAAATATTCTTTTCATAATGTGGCCAATATAAATAATTACTATTTTAATCAACACGAAAAAAAAATATTTAATTTTCAAAGCATACTCGGAGTGAGTTTGGGAAAATTTAGATATTATGGTTCATGAGCTTTACATTTCACTTTTGTCGATTGAAATCTAAAAAAACAAAAAAATTAATAGTAGTGAACGCCAAATTATAAGGCGCAAAAGAAGTATTAGAGTAACTAAAGCAAGTTAAAAAATCCTATATGTTTTTAAAGAAACAACGCTGATAAATCATTTAAAGTAAAATGCTTATGATTAAGAATTATTGCCAAAATTCAAACTATAATTATCAAAAAAGCTTAAGCAAATAAGTTTTGCATATTAGTTTGTCATTTGTTTTGGTGGATTAATTTAATCCAAAATTATAATTTATGATGGAACCAAGACTTTAGAAATTATAATTCAAATATATATTTAATATAAAACTAGAATTATGCCGGCCAAGGATCCCGACAGTCAAAAATTTACGACGGGTGTGGAATTAGTGTGTATTTGCAAATTATATCTTCAGGAGTTTTGATAGTCGGATTTTCGGATTATAGCCTGCCTGTTATAAATGAACCCGATTAGTTACACCAATTCAACAAGTTATGTGACTGATTTTTAATCTTTTTTAAACATTACATTGTAATAATGATTCTACTTTAGAAACTTTGCAGTTTCGATTCTATTCGACTTCCGATTTAGTTTCTTTAATAACTTGAAATACTTCATAATCATCCACATTAAAACTTGTAGGTATACCAACATTAGGATAAAAGTAGCTATTGCTCGACCAACCACCAACATGATTAAATACTAAATCACTGGAACGGCCAAAAATAGGCCCATAACCAGAATAACCACCTATAGAATATTTACCATTACTAAAACCTACATTTACAGATTGATTTTCATTCTTAAATGAGAATATAAAACTATCCTTGGTTGACTTATAACTTCCACTTGAATCCCATACAAGTGGATTATATCCCCCAACCAATTGCTCTGAACTTTTGATTTTTATTATAACAACCGTAGCACCTTTGTTATCACATCCTTGATGGAAATCTGCTTGTTTCATACCGTCCCGACTTGCTCGAAAAATTAAATTAAACCTATAAGGCATGTTCCTTTCGTTGTAATGCAACTCGTTTTCCTTATCAATCAAACTCGACAATATGGCGAAATGTTTAGATTTAATAAGCCTTGAATCATAAATACATTTTGACTGTCTAGGTGGTTGTATATTAATATTTAATTTCCGATTAGGTGCCAAATAAAATGTTGAGAGGTTATTAACCAAATCTTTTGGAAGCAATTTTCTGAAAGGAAGTACTTTATCAAGAAACTCTTCTGATGACATACAAAAAAACCTAATTAAAGGAACATGTCTATGGAGGGTTCTTTCAAAAATTGTTGTTTCTTCTTTACTCCAGTTAGTGACATCTTTAGGAATAGACGGATTCTGAGCAAATCCCCACTTGATTAAATTATCCCAAATAACAATTTCTTCTAAACCTAAATCATCCCGTTTCAAAAGTAATTCCAGTAAAGGAGCTTTGATATTGAGAAATTTATTAGAGTTAAATAACTCTTTAGGGTCTTCACAAATTTTTTCAACATAAAAATTCCATAATTTTGTAAAGGATTCGTGTTGATAAATTATTTCAAGAATTCCAATAGGATTTTGTTGTAAAAACTCATAATGGTCATTAATTAAGTATTCTTCAATTTTAGGAACTAAAGATTGGATATTAAGTGTATGTACTGCTATTGTCAAATTTAATAATTCAAGTCCTTCGAGTTTTGTGAAGTCAATTTTTCCGCAATATATAAATCTGAAATAAAGAAAATTGTGTCATGTTATTAACTTGATTATGTCATCACCGTACATTCTATATTTATTTACCTCAATAGAATTTTAAAAAGATGTGGAGAAATATTTGGTATCTTGAAAATAAATTTTCCTTCTCTCTTTTCAACATTTTCCTTAGTTAATTCGTTAAGAAAATATTGCGACCTGATACGTAGTATAAGCGAATGAGCATGTAGTTCTTTAACGTTTTCATTGTCACCGACATGAATAATAACATCATGCCCTTCGTCAATTTCAAGTAATTTTTCATAATCATTAGCAATTTCTTGGCAATATTCTGAGGACATTTTGGTAAGTTGGAAAATACCAAAAAAAAAAAACAAAAAAAAATTTAAATATACTAATCCGGACTGGAAGTTGTGTCACCCGAAAATGCATTTAAAATGTTAATATGTCTTTAAAGTCTAGATCCAATTATGAAAAAAATCCTAGGAATACGTATATGAAATATTAATCTTCATAATTCTCTTTATATCTTTTTAGAAATAGTATCACACTTATAAGTAATTTATAAATGTTATTATTTTAATGAATTTATATTTATAGCGCTTAGAATTTATACATCTGACTATTAAAACAAGTTTACAAACTTTATTTAAAACTCCAAAAACCATTTATCATTATTTTAAATGGGTTGTTTATGAGAGAATAGAAATTATCCTATACTTAAATTATTAAAATCATTTGTTACCGAATCCGGAACCTTTTTTTCATCACTTTACTGGTAAATTGATCATATTAATTATCAAGATATTTTTTAAATCTTGATTATACAGTCTATAACTTCACCGATATGGAAGAATGTAAAGTTAATAATTATGAAGTATTTAATTCATTAAAAAAGTTATTAACGACGAAAAACTATCATACAGCCGCAGCGATTACTTAATAGCGTATTAAAAAGTTGTAAGAATTTTTTGTAAGGAAAAAATTTTTTTTATACGTAACAACCTTAAATTCATTCAATCCCTTTTACATGTCGAAAGGTACTGTGTTAAGTTATGGATAAGGTCAAATGACAAATTATATTGTCATTTAAGAATTATATATGTGATCTTATTATTCTAGTTAATTTTACTAACTTAATTTTTCTTAATTTTTCATATTATATCAGAAAATTTTTCTTGACAATTTATATCCTTTTAAACAATTGCTACCAAATGATTTGACTCTGAATCGGGAATTGAATGTTGATATATTACCTCCTAGACAAAAATGTTTTGGTTATATTATGCCAACTGAATTGCTGGGAAGGATGATTAAAACGAAGATGACTCAAAAAATATTTCTTATAACTTCAAATTGCATTACCGTGCTAGTAGAGACGGAATGGATTCAAAGATGTTTCATATTAAATGTGATGGCAAGGGGCTACTATATTTTTCGCAAAATTAAAGATACAAACCAAATCGTTGGAGGTTGCGATTCGTAAGACTGGAATGGCCCTGGATAAATCTACAACAGATAGTTTTATATTTACTTTAAAGATTATAAAGATGTTAAACTGGTAAGCTAGGTAGAGTAATTGGTGGTAAAGAGCAACATGCCATATGTTGTTACGTTAATTATGGACCATGTTTCGGCCGACATTGTCTCCGAATAATAAAAAAAGGCATACCAGACCTGATTCTTATTCGGATATTAACATTCCTAAAGGTTATCATATCGATGAATATGAATTGTTTCAGGTGATAAAAAATAGATGATTTTATTTATTGCTATTTAATATTACAGTATGTGAAAATTCATAACCACGAAATTTATTATGAATTATTAAATTATAATTTTTATAGTTCAATACTATTTTCTTTTTGAAATTTTATTTAATACTAATGGCTTTTGCCAGAATTTAATTCGTTTATAATTACCATCTGATATTATCCAACACACTCGATATGCTTGCTTTAGAACATTTCCGGTATTAAACAAGCCACTGTATATGGTAAATAAATTGAAGTCTTAATTTACTATTGCGCAATGCATTTGCTAAAAAAATCCGTAAACGTGTAGAATTTAATGATATAAATCTTAATATATTGTTCAGCTGAACAATGAGTCTCAAATTATTGTTTGTATTTGACAATAAACTGTTTTATAAATGTTGGTGTGATTTTTGATACTTCGTCATTTTTTAAAAACCAATTTATATTATATTATATGTCTAAATTCAGAAAAAAAAAGAAAATATACAAAATTTATCATTATCCAGCTTCAATTTCTACTTTACCTAACTTCTGAAATTCAAGAAGAACTTAATTTTTATCGGAACAAAGCTATAGTTAGAAAACAGTGAAAAGTCAACTCAAGATTGGGTTGCACAATTTGAAGGATTTCGCGAAGAAATATAATTATATTGTACATGTACCTCTTAAAAATATTGCACAAATATCTAAAAATAAAATTTAGGTGAATATAAAGAAAAAACAGTGAAACATGATGTTGATTTATTAAAAATTTCACCAATTCATGGAATTTATTTCAATGGCAGCACAACCAAGTTCAAAATTGAATATTAATAATACTACTACATCTGCTGAATTTTCTTCTGACGATATTCAAAAGAAATTTCCCATCTTTACTTAAACATTAGTTTTTATATTTGTGGCATAAATAATAAATATAATAATAATTAGTAACACGTCATATTAAAATGATTTGATATTTTCACAATTTTTAAAATATCACTATGACAAATCACGGGCGACCATTAGTAAACATGGGATAAAAATGTTTCTCAATTTATTAAATAGCAAATTTAGATTCATTTAAGCAATGAAAATATAGTTCATTTTTAAACTACCTGAAAAACTTCATAATCATCAATTTCATAACTTGTAGGAATATTAAGGTTGGGATATACACGTGGAATAGAGGTCCATTTTCCATTATTAGGAGAGACAATATCTTTGCCGCCAAAAATTGGTCCGTGACCATTGTAACTTGCTATAGCATATTGCTCATAATGCTCTTCACCACCCATTACTCTACCTAGTTTACCTTCATTACCATTGCTATAATCACTAAAGGAAAATATAAAACTATCTGATGTAGTATTATAAACACCTTTTCCAGAGCTTGTCCAATATAACGGATTATAACCTCCAATGACATGTTTAGTATTTTTAATTTTCGCGACAAAGATAGTAGCCCCCTTATCATCACATTTCTTATGGAATATTGTTGCATCCATTCCGTCTCTACTAGCACGATAGAGTAATTTGAAGTCATAATGAACATTTCTTGATTTATCATTCAATCCATCTTTGTTATTAATCCAATTGGCAAATAAGACAAAGTGTAGAGATTTAACTAAAACTGAGTCAACTGAGTCATAAAAAACCTTTTGTTTTCTAGGAGGTAATTTATCAACATTTGATACACGATTTGGAGTCAAGTGAAATGTCAAGATCTTCTTGACCAAATCTTTTTGGTAGCAATTTTTTAAAAGGATATATCTCATCAAGAAACTTTTCTGGAGAAATATGATAAAATCTTATTAACGGAATAAATCTATTAAGTGCCCTCTCTATAATAACGAATTCCTCCTTGCTCCATTTTGTAACTTCTTGTGGAATAGTAGGATTTTGAGCTAGACTCCATTTGATTAAGCTATTCCATATAATAATTTCATCCAAGTTTAAATCATCCCGTTTCAAAAGTAATTCCAATACAGGTGCTTTTAAACGAATAATTTTATCGGAATTAAATAATAATTCAGGTTCGCTACAAATCTTTTCAAGACAAAAATTACAAAGTTCCGTGAAGGATTCATGTTGATAGACTGTTTCAAGCACTCCAATAGGATCTTGTTGCAAAAATTCAGATTGGTTTTTAATTACGTATTCTTGAATACAGGGTATTAAAGTTTGTATGTTAAGTTCGTCCACTACCAGCAAAAGTTTTAATATATCAGGTCCTTGCAATTTCGTTAAATCAATTTCTCCACAATAAATGTATCGTATGACAATTTTAAATAATGAGGGTGAAATATCGGGCTTTTTAAAAATCAATTTTCCATCCTTTTTCTTGGCCCAGTCATTTGAGAAAGCTGCGCGAAAGTATTGAGACCTAATACTTAAAATAATTGAGTGTGCATGTATTTCTTCAACACTTTCATCTTGACCAGCATAGATAATAACATCATATCCTTCACCAGTTTCAAGTAACCTGTCGTAATCATTAGAAATTTCTTGCCAATGTTTGTATGACATTTTGGAAAGAAAATTCAATTTTGCAAAACGCAGATCGTTTTAATATTCAGTTTTAGAATATAATAAAGCCTAATTTGTTCAACTTTGATGCATGACCTTCAGCCCTACCCTTTAAAAAATTTTATTCTAATCTAAATTCGATTGATAATTCCAAAAAATTAAAAAATTAGAAAATTTATACGAAGATCACGAGACTTGATTTCCTTGGATTTCCCAAGAGCCATTTTTATTTTATTTTTTAAAATGATATAATAATAAAGTTAATCTGAGAAATTTCATTGTTTTAAAGGTGATAATATATCATATCTTTCAAGAAGTGCCATCGGAAATTTCTAGTGACAACCACGAGGACGCAACGAATTTAATGTAAGTTTCCCTTGCTGCGCCATAGTTGATGCGGTAAACAAAAGACAAGAAATGTGACCGCGCACAGTAGTTAATATATATATATAAGAAAGGTATCAGAGTTAACGATAAATAACTTGTTTTCCGTAAAAATCCCAAAGTAATACATCATTGTCAACTAAGATTGAAATAATTAATTTCTTAATATATAAATTGATAAAGATTTTTTTTCCAAAAAAAAAAAAAAATAAATAACACTTTCCATCTTACCAATAAAAACGTAGTTATATATTTATAATTCTCGTTACATTTTTTACGCTTTGTGTTTTGATCGAAATAGAAAGTCATTTTCAAAAGTTAAAATTGGTGAGAATAATAATATTTTCGACCTCAAAGTCAGCAAGATTTCTTGCGATTTAAAGGATGTACAACTTACGTCATGGATCGAATACAATACGGTTATAATAGTTCTATTTTATGAAGAATTAAAAAAACGCGACAAAAAAGGTTAAAAACTTTTCAACAAGCACCAACATTCGAACCTCAGTAATCTTTTAATTCTAACCGAGATAAAGTTCATAGGTCAATTTAGGTGAAGACGACAAATTGTTTTTTTGAGTCGTAATTAACTACAGTACATGAAGCTTAACTTATATTTCTTCTCTTTCTAACTAAAGGTCTAAAATCCTTAACCGGTTAATTTAACTCAGGTCGGCACTAAATTTAGTAAGAGCTCTTTGAGCTCTTTACTTCCCATACGAGACACTAGCCAAAAAATAAAACTCCTTGCAGTTGAAATTGTAAGAAAGTTTTTAGATTACGTATCTCTAATTAAAAATTCTTGCGTGAACCTTGCGCACCTATTTAAACCAAATTCATCCGTTACCGTTGCTATCCATAATTTTAATAGATCCTTTAACTAAAGAAAATATTTTAATCTCGGATTTTAGGAAAGGTTTGGAATGACTACAATAATGCACCTATGCTACATGTTGCATTCGCAATTAGCGTTTGCTATACTATATTAAATCCAGAAATTGAACATATAACAATTGACGAATCAATTATGGATCTAGTAGAACCTCTCCTGTATGATTTTCATATATTTATTGGTAATTGTCATTCCATTGTTGGATGGAAACGAATTTATAATGTCAAAATAGATCATCTATTCTTTTATTTATTTCAGAAAAATATTTTAGAATATTCGACACTTTATATTAACTAAATATAATTTTTTTCGCCAATAAGTTTTTATCTTTATATAGTTGGAAAAAATAAAAAAAATAAGTGAACGGATACACCAAATGTAACCTATTTTTAATAACTTGATACACTTGATAATCATCTGCAACAAAATTACTTGGTATACCAATTTTATAATAAGACATTGGATTGCTACCCCCATTTCATTCTTCAAGAACGGATTTGCATGTACTGTTAGTATATTTAATTATTATCACGCTAGTTTAAGAAAGCTCTTCAAACTGATAAAAAAAAAATCATTTATATGCTTTCCTGAAAATGAAAGGAAAAATTTCAAAACAGCTTGGAATTGAGTTCATTGATCGATATTTTTTTTAAGTTGTAACCTACCATTTTTTATTTATTACTAAGAATTTAGATAAAAAATAAATACTACTTATTTCTTGGCAGAGTAATATTTACATGACTTTTTTGCATATCAAAAAAAAATACTACCACCAATTATCAAATTGCACGCGTAATAATATGATAAAGCAGTCGAATTTTGACCAAAAATAAAAATATAAATAAAATAAAAATAAAAATAAATAAATTATTCCTAATATCATTTTGGCATTAATCATTTTTTAAACGTAAAACCGTAAATATTTCATAAGATTGTATTTCAAACTTTTTTGGAATGCCGATTGAAGGATACGATTCGGGGTTACTCATTCATACACCATTATTTTTGCACAAGATCTGGACCCCGTCCAAACCCAGGCTCCTCTTCATTATAAAATATAGCATATTCTTTTTGAGAGACGTAACTAACTTCAGCAGTCTTGGAAACATATTTGTTCTTGTATAAAATACAAAACTATTTGTGTATCTTTATATGGATGACATTCTTTAAAACTTGTCGGATTAAACCCACCGACCAATTGCTCTGAATTCTTAATTTGAGCTACAATTAAAATTGAATCATATTCACGATATGACAAATTACTTTCCATAGATTTCTTGCTCGTAAAAAGGAATTTGAATTTATAAGGGATAGAAAAATTCTTATAAAATGAATCCACCTTCCTATCTATCCAATTCGCGAATTTAGTTAAATGATGAAGTTCAAGTATATTTGAATTGATGAATTCATGATATCTGGAAATTTTAAAAGTTGTGAGAGATGGTGGAAAATAATCCCCTTTGATCAAATGTAATTCCAATAATTCTTGAACTTTTACTTTTGGTAACAATATCTGTAAGTTAAAAGAAATTTTCGGGATCAATCAATTCAAATCTAATGAAAGGAATAAATTTTTGTAATGTCGTCTTTAACGAAACGAAATGCCCACCAACCCATTTTGTCACATCTTTGTTAAAGGATGGATGCAATCCCCCAATTCAACACTTATTGTCAAACTTTTAATTCATCCAATTTATAAAAATCTCCTTGAAGTAATACATACGTCAAGCAACGATTCATCCAATGAAACGAATTTCTCAGATATGAACACAATTCACAAATAAGTTCAAAAAATTCATCCCATAAATTAATTAATAAATTATTTTGATGAATTAATTTGAGAATTTTCGTGGAATGAGCCTCTACGAATCTGATCCTATGCTCGATCATGTAATTTCGTAGATGAGGAATTAATTGTTTAAAATAGTATCCATCCAGTGCAATTATGAGTTTTAAAATTTCAAACCCCTGTAATTGAGTTACGTCCAAATTTCCATAATAAATAAAACTAAACATCATTAATTAATATAACGAATATCTTGGGAAAATATAAAAGAATATATTACCTAAGGATAATTTGAAAAATATTACGCTCAATATTCGGTTATTTTAAAGTAATCATTCCATTATCGTCTTTTCACGGAAAATTCTGTACGAAAATATTCTGATCGAATTTGTATAATAGTTGTATGAACATGAAATTCGCTACAATCTTTCCAGTGTATATTATGGTATATGACGTTTAACTTTTGGAATGATGTAGCTAGTGATTATGAAAAATTATTTGAATCAAAAGAAGGACATGATGTTATCATTTATGCCGGTGAAAATGAAAATTTTGGAATAATATATGCACACTCTTTTATTTTATATACTCAATCGCAATATTTTCGTAATGCGTTGTCAACGGAAATGCAAGATGGAAAATTTATCGTAAAAAACCGAAATATTGATATCAAAATATTTGATTTTATTATCAGGTGAATATATGAATTATAACAATTATTACAATTGTTAATTGTTTATATTTCGTTGATTTGAATCAATTACAAGTTCTCGAAATATTGAAGCTTTTCATGGCTGTAAATGAGCTTAGCATTCAAGATTTCATTAACCAACATAAAGTAAAATTCATAAAATCTCATCCCGTGGATATACTCGAAATAATTTACGAACGTAATTTATTTACAGATTTATGGAATTTTTCTCTCGTTGAAATTTGTGAGATTCCTGAAATATTAATCAATTCTGAAAAATTTACCAGTCTAAAGGCTCCTATAATGGAAATACTTTTAAAACGGGATGATCTGAATTTATATGAGAGCGTTATATGGGACAGTGTGATAAGATGGGGTTTAACTCAGAGTCCTTTAATTAAACATGATGATGTAAACAAGTGGACCAGGCAGGACTTTGATATTATGAAGGAAACAATTCGAAAATTGATTCCGTTAATAAGGTTTTATCGTATTTCTTCAGAAAACTTTTATCATAAAGTTTTGCCTTACAAAAAATTGTTACCTAAAAAATTGGTTTACGAGATTTTAAAATATCACATAGTTCCAAACAAGAAATTAAATATTGATGACATACAACCGCCGAGAAAATCAAAAAGCACTTTTAATTTAGATACCAAGGAGCCATCTCTGAGAAATTGATCAGCACCGCACCGTTAATAATAAATTTGATTAGAACAAAATGAAAATAATTTAATTTCTAAAAGGTCATTTATCATCAAGTGTCTTGCATTAATTCCTATTGAATCCGATATCCGATTAGATCTTTATAAAAAAATGAATTTTCTTAAGAGAGCCTTTACCGTTAATGGGCGCGATCATTAGAAAGGTTTTTCTCGTAAAGAATGACGAAAACAATAATATATACTTTACATTAATTAAAAATGCCGAAGTAGCTTTGGGACAATCTGCTCGATTACATCTCATTAATGAATGTTTTGAAGACTTGGACACAAACATGACAACTTTATGTTGTGATGTTATTGAGCAAACATTCTTTATGAATTGTGAATTAGAAGATTTGGCTCTTTACTTTGGACACGCTATTGAGTCTATATGAACGGGGAGCGCAAAGGATAGCAGTTATCGATTTACTCAAGGAATTCGTTCGTCGATTCTAGGATACTTTTCTTCAAGAAGATAGAATAGTCTCATCGCGTATAACAATGCTGATAGTGCTGAATTAATTAATCAAATTAATGGTTGCATGAATTATGATCATCCTTTGATTCATTCTCTTAAAATTAACTTTTTAAGGGATTTTCGTCATAAAGATTTTCAATGGATGATGTTAAAAGATTTTGCAAAGTTCAGAAAAGCATTTTACCTTGGCTTGGAACTTTAAATTGGGACAGTGTTAAAGAAAATCGTTTAGCTGTCAATCCATATTCTATTTTGCCCGAATATGAAGATCTAGAAAGCGTCTTTACGACTTTGTATATTTTAAGCCAACAAACACCTTTCAAAATATTTATGCAAAAGATAAAACAAAAGGATACCTTAACAGCAAGGTTATCTCTAATGGTACTTATCTTTATACGTCTTTATGCTTTAAGGGCTTCAAGAGAATGACAACATCTGGAGATAAAATCGGCTGATTTTTTGTCCAAAGAACTCACAGATATGGATAATCTCCCCGATTTATTTAAAACAATGGCAACAAAAATCTTGTCGAATAAATTACCATTACTTCAAATTAACAATTCCAATATTAGTAATTCAGATTTGCTTTTAAAATCTGTTATTGCACATATAATCGCATTTCACGCTTCAATTGAATCGAATTCATCCCAATTGGCAATGTATTTGCACGGATTACAAGATTGTCAGAATCTGTTTATTTTAACATGTATTCCTGATATAGAATCAACAGTGTTGAATGCACTTACTGGTTTCGCTAGAAATGCTTGTCAATGTGGTTTTGTATATGTTACCTCACTTGGCTGTTTTTCAATACAAAGAGGTTTATGTCCAAATTGTAAAAATACGATTGGTGGAGATGTACGAGGAAACGCTCGAATTGAATTTGTTAATCAAAATTTGACATATCGCGTCAGATCATTGACGGGTACTTCATATCGTATTTACATTTGATAGTTCATTCTCTTATTGGAGCATCTTCACCCCAACCTGCACTTGCTTTCCTTCAAAAAAATAATCAAGTTGCTACAAATGCCGAAACGTATTGTATAGATCATATTAAAAATGATTGGGCAGTTCTCAAGAAGTTGGCATAATTATTTTATTTAGTTATTTATTTTTTGATTGTTCATTGATTAAAGAATAATTTTTTTTTATTTAAATCAGACTCCGGCGTTAATGTTCCACTCATTAATTTCTTCAATGACGGAGAAACCTCCGTTACAACTAATAACAACGTCTGCTGAACGTGAGAACTGGGAAATGGTTTTCCATAGAGATTATGTCGAACCACAAATTAGAAATATAACTGAAACATCAACCAATTACAGTACGAAATTAGACGTAATTTCGTCTAAAAATCAAAAGAACCATAGTTGGATTGAGGGTGAAATTGATCAGACGATGGTGATGGATAAACAATATCGAATTGAATATTTACCAACTTTATGGAGAACGATTGGGATGATAAATTTTGATAGTTTTCGTGCTTATTATATGAGTGATTTGTCAAGAAACAAAAGTATTTATCCATTTCTTTCAGTATTTTTCAAGTACGCTGGGCAATTAGAATTACTTAAATATCTTTTACCGATCGTAAAATTTGTACAAATTTTGAATTCAAAGCTTGAATATCGTCTAATTCGACAAAAGGCAAAAAAAATAACGTTCAAAAAATTTATAGAAAATGAGTCTAACAATGGTGAAAATCTCGATATGCTTAATAGTTTGACAACTGCATTTGATGAATTTAAACTTGGTTGGGATGCAGTTATACCTCTTATAACCCTATATCAATCCAAATGACAAGCCAAACATGGTTCTAGAACTTCCAGTTGTTTATAGTTTTATGGAAGCAAAGGATGAAGGAATTTACTTATGCGCGATCTTAGATTATTTAGTTAACTTGCAAAATAATTCCCTACAAGAAGTCGTCGCTATTCCACCTGGTACTAAGGTTTTAGTTCAATCATCATTTGATGTCTCATCAACTTTGGTTCAATCAAATACGTCTAACCTTCGATCTATGCGTATTGAACACGTTCAATTCAAGCATATAATAATCTTTGATTGGGATGATGAGATCCTTGCTTATAGTCAGAAAAATTTGGCAGTTGCAAAAGGACAAGATATAGTTTATGACTTGACAGAGATTGAGGCAGAATTAGCAAGGATGCTAGTTTTCGAAAAGGTTCATATAGAAGCACAACCAGGAACACACTTATATCTGGAGCATTTCCCATATCACATGGAATTGTTCCAAGGATGTGTGAGGATTCTTAGTGATATTAATGATTTAATACCTCAAGAACCTATCCCAATTGAGAAAATGCATTTATTAGTTGGTTCTGAAACAACGTTAGAAATTTCAGAAGTTTTATCATCATTGGAAATTCTTTTATGTTCTATCAAGCGTACAGCAATTAGAGATGAAGATAAATCGATTAAAGATTATATTTTACAATCATTAATAGAGCATGTAGGGTTCTCAAAATTTTTAAATATAGATTTACGACTTAAACACTTAGTTGCTTTATATGAATTTGTTGAAGAACAGGTTGCCAATCTTCAAATGGAAAATTTCCATAAAAAATATAGAGCTCCACTTTCAGAAGATATGAAGACCACAATACTTGAATCCGTAAATTTAGAACAAACCACCCTAAATGAATTGATACCAGCAGAAGCATTTACTTTGGCTTTAAAACGATTCATGTTTCGATTTTTAATCACGGAAGATCAAAAAGAAATGGAACCATTATATTTTTATTTACAAGATATTTCATTAAATCTCTGGCCGTCAACAATATTAGAGGAAAGTATCGAAGAATTATTCCCAAAGAATTTAATGGTTGCCAACACATTTTCTGCCTACGAATTTATTTTGAAAAGTATGGAGGTAAGAATATTTATTAATTAACATTGTTTTATAGAATAATTTATTACAATTTTAATTTTTTTTTTTTTTTTTTTTTCAAATATCAATAACCCACAAACGGCATCTATGATTAGAAAAGTTCGACCAATGAGGAAATCAATATGGTTGAAGTGAGAAATGTTGATATTTTGTTGAATAAAATTTGAAATGACTGATAAATTTTTAAGTTTTTCTAATATTTCTTGGTAACGTGTCAAGTGTTATTATGATTATTTTTTTTTTTTTTTGATATTTGCATTAAATATGAATAAATTTAAAGAAGAGAAGCTTCTTGTTCTTGAGTATGGCTTTTCAAATTTATGACTGATAAATTCAGCTTTGTTCATAACATTGGATACACGCTTTCTAAAAGCGTAATATATCTTCCCAAGCCAAGTAATTATAGACACTTTAGAAAAAAACCTGAAAGTACAGTGTGTTGTACCCTCACCGAATTTTTTAAATTTCTTTCTTTTAAATTTTTTTTCTTAAAATAATTATTAATTTAATGCAACATATCTTAAGCACATTCAAATTGAGTTGTTATGGAGTTGAATATACACCTTCATCATCATACTTGGGCCAAAGGTTTCATTCAATTTAAACGTTGAAATCCCTGAAAAGAAGGTAAGGTATAGTTGACCCAACGTCAAAGATATCAGTGTACGCAAATGCATCTAAAAGTTCGGTGCAAACTGTGTAAGTATATGCACAAATCTGCTACTCCTATCTTTTAAAACATAAATAGAAGGAGTGAATTATATGCTCGTGAACGCGTTCTATTTATAATGGCGCATAACGTGCATAAATAATATTTTAATAATAATTAACTTGACTAGACTCCTTTTGACGCGATAAACTGGTTTTTTTCGTCACGTAAATTTACATCGCATCTGTATAGAAAATTAAGGCAATTAATCATCATATTAAGCTAGACCTTCCTATTTATTAATCAATGGCTCCAAAAATTCTATCTAGAGAAATTCATATAAACTATCGGTATAGGTTCGGATGTTACTCTAAAACCGTAAATTTTAATGACTTTTGTTAATTGCATGATTTGATGTTGAAGATAACGTGACGACATGAAATCAATACATATGATTAAACGTCTACATGGATAATACAGCAATCAAGAGTTTTCTCACAAATTAAAATATGATAAATTTTGTGTCTATTGCTCAACTGAATTAGTTCGTTATGGATCGAAATTCTTTATAATTATGAAATGGTTGATTGAAAAATTTATTTTCCCAGATGATTAGACTGTAATTCAACAAAATTAGTTTTTGTTTTGAAATAAATCATTAGAACAATGTATCCGTCAGCTATAGGAAAGGTGCTTTTGTTTTTCTGTCTCCAAAACGAATCTTTATTTGTCAATTGTTGTGGTACAAATCGTAATACGATCTATGGAAGTTGTCCGCATCCTATAAAAAAAATTGATCCGTGTTTTGTTTTCCCATGTTATTTCCGTGAACGGCTCATTTCTTACAGAAGCCACGGAGAAATAATGACAAAAATTTTTTATAGGGACAGAAATTAGAATTCTTTTTTTAAGATGATGATCAATTGCTTGTTGATTGGCTAATTCTTTTATTTTTTTTTTTTTTTTATAAAACACGGCATTATAATATCTTTTGAAATTAGATAAATTCATACTTCTTCAACTTCTTTTTTATCAGCAAGAGTTTATCATTTAGTTTATAAATTCTCTGACCTTTGAGTATAGTATCATCATTCAATTTATCTAAAAGAATTGATAGAATGAATATGAATATACAATGATCATAGCAAATGGAATTTCGGTCGATCACGGGGACATAACGAATGAAAGTTAATTACCTCATAGACATGGTTATATTATTGTGTAATTACCTATATTTATTTAATCATTTAGAGTACGATAATGGGAAAGGATAAACGTTTTGTATATCCCAAGACTTTATTTATTGGTCAGAAAACGTCGCTTAGATATTAATAGCCGATGAATTGAGTATAAAATATGCGCAGATAGCCAATGATGCATCACACCAGATTTATTCTAATACACTCTAACCAAAAGTGGTAGTTAAACTTTTAACAATATATTTGCTTATAAACTTGCTATAATTAAAAGTCAGTATATATATATAACCTGATTTCGAATTGTTTTTATAAGTAAAATTTAACATTTCCCGGTAGGGTACATCGGGATTGGTACATGCTAAAGGCAAATTTTTCTGCAGTAATGAAAAAATTTTTCAGTCATTTCTGCTGACCAATTGTGATTTTGAACTTTAAGCTAAAATAAAATAAATATATATTTTGATTTAATAAATTGTTTTTTATGCTTATTTAATGATTTGGTGCTTGATTGTTTACAAGAAAGAAATTTCCTTATTCTGATTAAAATGATTAGTTTCCTAAATTGGCAAAGACATTAACAATATAGTTACAGAAATCCAATGCTTCGAAAGTTTTCACCTACAATTGTCAGAATCAAAAACCCAAAATCTTCAGGAACAATGGATCAACAATAATTTTTACATAATGGGATATAATAATATCAACTGAAATGGGAAGTGCCACTGTACATTTTAAGATTGGTCCGTTCCCTTCTGCTTCTTATATATCATGTGATCATAATTTATGCAACATTTACTGTGCAACACCAACCACTTGATCCCCAAGATTTGGGAGAAAGGCGTTGCTCTAAAACTTTTTCGTAAATGAACGTGAAACATGGAGGATATGGAGGATATGAATTAATCGACGGTTTTGCGAAAAAAAAAAGAGGTGCATGAGGAAACAAACAACATGGTGAACTGTCAAAATCCTTTCTTTCATATGGTATTGTTACTGATTTACCTTATACATGTATTATATATATTAATTATTTTATTTTATTTTCTTCCTTAACAATCATAAGAAAATTGGAATTTTATATTATCATGCATGTGATTTCGAATAATACTTGTGACGATCATAATTTAAAATCAACAAATCTGCAGTTACCCCAAAATAGTTCAGCTTTCATCTCTGCATATCTGATAGGATGTGCACGGTTGAGGATTTTTTTTTTGCAAATTTTATATATTTTTTCCATTGGAAAAATTTTATCCAAACTTCTTTAAAAGCAGTTCCCTTCTAAAAAACAGATCACGATTTATACGATAAAATATCACACGTTTAATGATACATCAAAAAAAACATTAATAATGCAATGACATTAAGATTTACTCAGCCATGTTATCATGATTTTTATCAATTGCCCCCAAAAATTGTATTTACTATTGTTTTTAATTTGGTAGACTGATTCTCCCTTTGTATTACCCATTATTTGGTTTAACTCTATATATATATATCTGAAATCAAATAGTTATTCATTTTTAATTTTTTTCCCCACAATTACAAGTTTTAATTAATCTTTTTTTTCGCATTGAAAAAAACAAATCCTACTATTATTGTGGTAAGTTTCATTTTTTTTCGGTTTTATTATTTTTTTTTTTTTCCAAATCGGATTGGTTCCCTTTTTGAACTGAAAAGATCCATATAGCATGTATTCTTTGCATATAACGACCCCCATTTGATCTTATTGGTCATATCTTATTATTGTTTCAAAAACTTATTTATATAAACCTTTAAATCCTTTTTTGATTTGAAATATTCTTATTGATCACTTAACCTTCCCTTCACAAATTTATCTTCCAAATAACCAGCTAAAAAAAAAAACACATTTCGTCAGGTTCTACAAACAACATGCAATCACAGAGATCATCGACTACTCGTACGACATCACCTCGTACTACATCAATATCACGAAAACATTCCACCACCACCAAACAATCACCGACCATGAAAAAGTATACGCGAAATGTAATCGATGAATTTAGTTTAAATTACGTAAATGAAGATCATATAGAGGCATTCTCTAAGGCGTTAGCGGAGGATCCCGAACAAGACTCTACAGAGCATATTGCCGCTATAACGGACTTCATGCCGATTAGACAAAAAATTAAAAAGAAGAAACCTAAAGTACCGAGCGGATTCGACGGTATCTCTTATCACATTGTTAGATTTCCTTTAATGGTAAGTTCGTCTATAAACAATTATTCTAGTTCATAACTGGTTCCTAACTTGTTCTCAACTTTCAAGTCAAAAATATTGATCCTTGTTTTTTTGTTTTCATATAGTTGTTTATTTTCCTTATCATCACTTTTGAATTGTTATGTTACATTTTGGTAAGACAAATCGTGAACCTATGGGAATACTTTGTTCAATGGTAAGTGATAATTTTTTTCGTCTTCATTTTTCTTTTAATAAATTGGAAACTTATCCCTGAAATTCATCAGGAGAGGAGAGAGATATCGACTAAGAGAGAAATTACGTAATTCTTCCGCGTATAAAGAATGGAGAGAAGCAGCACAACAACTTGATTCATATTTTCATTATGATGAATGGAAGGATGAAGTTCCATTCGGTTATTATGATTTCAATTTATTACAAAAAGTCAACAGAGACTTAAAAAAACTAAGAGAGTCGTCCTCATCATCATCATCTTCAAATAATGATTCTCAAACATTATTAAAAGGCGTTTTACAGAATTGTGTAAAGAATAATTTTGCTGGTGTTGAAAACGTAAGTTTATACTCTCAAACTTATTTTGGAACAAAAAAAATTGTTGAAAATTATATCGAAGAAGGTAAATTATCTCGTCATTATTTCTTATTTTATTGATTGAAAAAATAATGATATTAATGACATTCACCCGAAATTACTTTTCTATTAGTGACGGAATCTCTTGATTACTTGCGAACAACAAAATCGTTGCCGTTGGAAGAGAAACGCAAATTATTTAAAAATGCACAAAAAAATTATGGAAGAACGGCATTGTGTTTAAGCGGGGGAGCATGTTTTGGTTATTATCATTTAGGGGTAGTTAAAGCATTATTTGAAGCGAATTTATTACCAACAGTTCTAACAGGAACAAGCGCGGGAGGTTTAATAGCCGCTCTTATATGTGTACGTACTGATGATGAATTGGCTCAAGTGCTTAAACCAGACTTGAGTAGACAACTTACCGCGTGTTCCGAGCCATTGTTCGTATGGTTAAAACGTTTATATACAATTGGCGCAAGATTTGATGCGGTAGATTGGGCACGGAAAACTCAATGGATTACGAAAGGAAGTTTAACTTTTAAAGAAGCTTACGATAGAACTGGTAGAATACTTAATATCTCCGTTATACCTTATGATCCACATTCACCTCCTAAAGTATTAAACTACATCACCGCTCCCGACTGTGTCATTTGGTCCGCAGGTAAAATTTTTCAAAGAAAAATGATCATTCAATTAGTTTTTTTTTTTTTTTTTTTTATAATTTGGTTTTAACTTTTCCTCTTTTTTTTTATGTAGTCATCGCCAGTGCTGCGGTTCCAGGCATTTTGAATCCCGTGGTATTGATGCAGAAATTAAAAGATGGATCCATTGTACCATATAATTATGGACATAAATGGAAAGATGGATCACTTCGTACAGATATACCGATTCAATCATTACACATGCACTTTAACGTAAAAAATACAATAGTATCACAGGTTAATCCTCACGTTCATTTGTTTTTTTACGCACCGAGGGGTTCCGTCGGTAGACCGGTTAGTCATAGGTATGGTAGAGGATGGAGAGGTGGATTTTTATTATCAAGCATTGAACAATACCTTAAATTAGATTTAAGCAAATGGTTAAAATGGGTGAGGGATTTAGAATTATTACCTAAAGTCGCCGATCAAGATTGGAGTTCAATTTGGTTACAGAGATTTGATGGTAACATAACCATATGGCCAAAATCAAGGATATCCGATTTCTTTTATATCCTTACCGACCCTAATTATGAAAGGTTGGATGTGATGATCACAACTGGTCAACGAGTTACATGGCCCAAACTTCAGATGATTTCAAATAGAATAAAAATTGAGAGGGCGATAAAAAGGGGGAGAGATCATGTTAAAAGAGAAGAGAGAAAGAAATTTAGATATCATAGAAGCGAAGAAACAAATGATGGTCATATTGGACATAGTAGGACCATGTCTTCCCCTTCAATTGTTCAATCCCTCAGTAATATCAATTTCAATATCATTAATTCGAGTAGCGGAAGCGATAGTGATGATTACGATCATTTCAGTCATTTCAGTAGTGGTCAAGATGAATCGGATGAAATCTTATTGGCCAATGTTGGAAGTGGCAGTGATAGTATCTCTGCTGATAGCGATAGTAGTAATGGTGGTGAAAATTTTAGTAGGATAAATGATAATATCATTGATGATGATGATCTTAGTTCTCTAAAGTATGATATGATCATAAGTCAATCTTCTTCATCGGATTATGATGATGGTATTGTAACTCCCGATGATGGTCAAGGGTTAACGTTTTATTGAACGTTGTTGTCATAAAATTTATCAAAAAACATTTATTACATTTTTTTTATTTATTATGTATGTTTCAATCGATTGATTTGGTTATTATATAAATAAATAAAAATATATTGTGTCAAACTAAATTTTGCCAGAAATGGCAATAATTGGTTAACATCAATCACGATTTTTGTGCTCACAAAAAAGAATAAATTGCATTTGAGAATTTTTATTTTCTTTTTTTGGGGGGTTAATATTCCAAGACTAACCATGTCAGCGTACCATGCGGTTTTTAAGGTCCCCAAAAATATTCTAGCGGAGAGAGTGATCGTTGGATCAAACTTAAACAATGAGTCTTTTCAAATTTATCGATACTTAAGATTATTCAGCAAAATCGAATCATGTTGATTTTTCTTAATATTGGTTCAATCATAAAGCTTATTTAGTTTGAACCGATAAATGAGCACTCATTTCAAAAGTACTTTAAATCTTAATTAATTCAAATACTATTCTCTCGTTTCCAAAATAGGTTAAAGGTTAAAGGTGAACTATCCACATCACTCTTTTAAAAAATATCGCTTAAAAATTTGGGACAAGAGAAATTTTTGGGAACGGTTTAAGACATTTGATCGATCAAGCCTTATAAACGCAAGTTACAGCAAAATTACAGATTAACGTCTGGACTATTTATTACTTTCATTAAATCGGACCAAATGTATTTAAGTTAGCGTATGGAGTTTGTATTGAACTTAAGCGAAATTATTTGAAAAAGATGGAATCCTTACACTCTTCCTATTTCTTTTATTTTTCATCGCAAGGTAATTGCGTAATTTTCTAATCATTAATTACATTTAATCTCGCTGCTTTTCAAACCATGATTATCTAGTTCTTCTCATTTTTGAGAATTATCAATGAAATCACTTAAATGAATGTACCATTTATTAAATGTTTCTTAGGACTAAAAAAATCTATCTACCACTAATACATATAATAAAAATATGGTTAATTTTATTTAGGGTGTACATGACATGAAAACAAAAATAAACTTCAATATTAAAAAGGGGTTCAATAACCTATTTTTATAGGATCATTATTACATGTTAGTTATATATAATAAAATTATGTTAATCAAAATACTAAATGATAGCATTAGATCATAGATCATATTTATTTCTTATAAATAGCGTGTTACAAGTACAGTATATAAATAAGTAATGATGAATAAATTAATTCATCAAGCCAATTTAATACTTTTGGATTTACACATGGCAACAGCTTTAGGTTGATGAGATAAAGCGGCCAATCTAAGATAATTACTACCATTTTCTTCATCTTTATTAACGCCAATCCCATTATATAATATATTTCCGATATTATACATGGCAGTATGATTACCATTATCGGCCGACATCTGAAAATATTTTATAGCCTCTTTAATATTTTTCTTAACGGCTTCACCTGACCATAAACAATGTCCATATCTTAATTGTGCTTCTGCTAAACCAAAGTCTGCGGCTTCTTTAAAATATTCGATAGATTGTTTTAATCTTAATTGTTTTGCAATTGTATCTTCAGGATCATCTACTGGACATATATCATAATATAAATAATATCCTTTCCAATACCTAATTTAATTATTATCATCATTATTATCTTGAAAGGTAATGACTTGTTTTTGAAAAAAGCACTTATCACTTACTTTGCAAGCGTATCGCCAAATTCGGCATGTTGACAAAAAGCCTTCCATGAATTTAATCTATCCCCATTCTTTTTCCTATGTTCCACCGTGGCTTCTTTAACACTCATTGTGACAACTTCAAATTCGCTTAAATCCAATGATAATTCTAAATCGTCAGGATCCGGTAAATCTAATTGTAAGGGATAGCAAACTGGTGAAGCAGTCGGAGTTTTTCTCGGTTTGTAAATTTGATAAATGCTATTTAATGTCATAAAGATATCTTTTAAAGGAGGTCTTGCAATTGGACTATCTTGCATCGCTGATGATTCAAATGAAGAGAAGATTTAAATTGCTGTCGATAATAATCATGATAATAATAAATCATGCTTTTTTTACCTTTATTGGCAATTTTTGACCATTCAATAGGTACCCCGAGACTAAATGATGGCCTATATCTCTGTTCAACGACAAGTTTTTTTATTTTAACAATATCATTTTCCATTTGAAAAGGTAACTTTTCTTCGGCAATTTCCCACAATACCATACCAAAACTATAAATTTCACATTTCGCGGTGTAAGGATTTTTATGATCCCTTAATTTTTCAGGAGCCATCCATCTTACATTATCAAGCGTTGCTTTAATATGAGTGCTAAAATCTCTAAATCCGCGACTTAAGGTAAAATTTGCCAATTTTGCACAGCGGTGATTGGTAATTAAAATGTTTTCTGATCGTATATCATGGTGCAAAATGGATACCGTGTGCAAAAAGGTTAACCCACGAGAAATATCAACAGCGATCTGTGATCTTTCATGCCAGTCAAGTGGTCCAAAATGTGTATAATATTCTTTAAGATTTCCATACTCACACCATTCTGTTACCATATACATTAATTCTTCTTCCTTGATAAATCCGTAAAATTTTACTATATATCTTGATTCCTTAAGTTTTTTCAATATAATCACTTGACTCAAGATATCATTAATATGCTCCTTTTCTTCTTTATCGAAAAACCTTTTCTTTAATGCCACTTCTTCTCCTTTGCGTAACCTTTTACTCACATTAGTACCTCGTTTAACTTTTTCAAGTGGATCATAAAATTCGCTTATTGGTATCGTTGCATCCGCTATGACATCATCATTTCGTGAAAGTAACTTTCTTTGCCATGCTATGTTCCATTGTGTGATATCATCCAATTTAGCATTAATTCCCGATATTTCGCTTGCGATGCCTCCTTCAATATCTTGTATATACTGAATGATAAGAAAAAAAATAAATGAAAACGGAAAAAAAATGTTTTGAGGAAAAAAAAAAAAAAAAAGAGTTCAACATCAAATGTTCCTCACTTTATTCATCTCCTTAACATCATGTCTTAAAATTTTTCTATCTTCTTCCAATTGTATTTGGTTAGAAATGGCGATTGAAAAATTTAAAATTCTCATCAATCCATCAAATTCATTGGTTAAATCGAGAAATTCTTTTTCAATATTATAAGCCGCCAAAAATTTCCTTAAACCTTTTATTTGTGAAATTTCTTCAATGAATTTCTTAATTTTATTGATGATTATGACCAACCTTTGAAAATTTTTATAATATTCTTTTGACTTGAATAATGATTCATTTTCAAACCTACGAATCTCCAAATTTTTTACGGCAGTTTCCGCTGCTGTTGCCCTTGACAATAGCGAACCACATATCCTTTTGTTATGTTCGGCTGTTTGATAAAAATCGATTATATCTGATACGATACTAGAGATTTCTGATATTAACGGCGTAAATGGTAAGATTGAATCTGATACTTTTGATGCACCTATGACACCCATCGTTGCCCCTGTCAAATCCGTTACGTTTTTTATGGCTACATTAACATTTTCAAGATTAAATTGATTTGATACACTTTCTTGCATCATATTCACTATATGCAGGGAAGGATTTTGATGGATTTGAAAAAAAAAAAAAATTATATATAACGTGCAAATTAATTCGTTTACAAGAAATACTAGAGAGAAATAAAATGGCAATGGAAATTAAAATTCTACGGACGGATAAGTATCATTTGTGTCACTTATCCATTCATCATAAAAATTTCACTGCGGTTTGTTCGGAGTTGAACCTATTTGATTTCCGTATGTAGCAGTTCGATTACATTATTTGTTGTTGTACAGGAATATGACTTATTTTACTAATCATGATGTTTAAATATTTGATATTATAAATAGCATTCATAAAAATTAAAATTTTCCAAACATTATGCTTTTTATGTGAATGCTTTAGTCTTCTTTTTTAATTGTTTTAAAGCAGAAAGGTGAACTAGTTACCATATTTATTCGTTGGCAATATTATGCCCTTCAGCTGCGCTGCCAAACAAAAAACCAAGATCAAAAATTTTTGGAGGCTTCATTATTTAATGTCCTCTGAATCGATTTTTAATAATGTGAACTGAATCAGACCATTTAAGGTTAGGTTTTTTTCCGACTTTCACTGGTGTCCAAATAAACATATCACGAGACACGTCAAATGAGTTTGATAAATTTATTTCTGAATCGAATAGATATTGATGATAAAGCTCGTTGATTAGGTACTCGTGAAGCAAGTACAGAAAGTACTTTATCTCATCTCAACTATTAATTATATTGATTCTCATGTCATACAGTTTCAAAATACTTTATGATATAGAATGAATGACCCATTTGACGAATTGTCAAACCAGGTACAAACATGTAACCTGACTCATCACATTCCCTAACGCTAAGCTTGTACAAATTACTGAATATTAAAAATTCCCAAATTAATATTTGGTTAAACATTCAATTTTTTATTTTTTTTTTTTTTCACGAGAACTTTCTTACACATCCTACGCATTTGTCCGGCTAAACACAGGAATCGTATTCAGTTTTATTGTAGATCATATTGTTTTATTGCTATCAGCTGACGCTCCCGAATATTAAACTCTTTAAATCCCACTTTGACACTTTCAAAATTCTAAACTATGTCTTACATATATATATATATATATATATACATCTCGGAACTTTCCCCCATCGAATTTTCCTGAAATATTAAAATGGCATATATATACTACGACTTCGCCTTTTGAATCAATAGTTTGATTTAAAAAGGTATTCTCATTATTTCCATAAATGGTATTACTATAAATGAAGACAAAACCTGATCAATATTCAGAGTGTTAAAACAATTTATGTATTTATTATTATAAGTTACACGTACGCCCAATCTGTTGTTTTTGAAACATGCGTATGGAACAAGGCACGAATTACTTCCATCAAGGGATAATGATATATTTGTTTAGATTGTACATCTAAAGGTTACAATATTTAAGGTTGAAGTTCAAAGGATAGTCACCATAAATTACATTTTAAAATCTTCTTGACTCCTTTACAATTTTAATCCATTTTGTATCATGAATAATAGTGAACGTATTAAAGTTCCCACCAATTCTATTGGCCTTATCAAAGGTAAAAAAGGGGCCAATCTCAATGACATTCAAAGACGTTCCAACGCCAAATGTAAGATAAAAGAAAATTATATCATTGTGACTGGCTCGAATGATGCCCGTCGCATCGCAATTAACTTAATCAAAGATTGTGTCTATAATTCCATCATCGTTTACGGTCATCCCATTGAAGCGATTATTGCATTACGACCGCCTTTGGTCGGACTAAAGAATGTATTGTTCGTAAAGTATAAAGGAAATGTGGATATGAATAATGTCAATAAGGCATTTTTTGTTTTGGATGAAGAAGAGAAGAAGAGACATGAACAACTTGATAATCTCACTTTGCGCATGATTAATTTAAACATCGAGTATGTATTTATACTTTTTTTTTTTTCATTGAATTTCTATTAGTTGAACTTTGTTAAAAGAATCGTTTACATATTTAGGAAAATTAGTCGTATCATCGCCCCGGAAAAAGATGAAACCTTGATAGACCATATTACCGAGAGGCTCATTGAACTTGTCTTAAATAATAAAACTCACGTCTTCAGACTCAAGGCAAATATTGGAAAGCAACTCTTTTATCCTGCAACCAAGGATAAATTGCTGCTACCATCTTCGGTTCAACTTGCCCGTCTCCTTAAATACGAGATTGGTTATCAACGCGACGTCAAGGTTGTATTCATGAATTATATCTCTTTTGACATTGCAAAAGAAATCGAAAGTCGTCTCGGTAAATTAGGATACAAGGAAGATAATGAGAAGATCGTTCAAAGAGCTTCGATTCACTTAATTGATGTCAATGCGGAGAAACGCTTCACCATCTCCACCGATATCACATCAGAAGGAAAACTTAGGCTTCGTAAATATAGCGTTGACAACATGAAGCATCTCTTCTTATCTTTTACTAGATCGAAATCAGATTTGGACTTTCGGTTCAGAATCCTTTCCCGAGAGCCACCCATAACAAACGTACCTCTCAAACTTAAAAATTTAATCAACAAAGCTACCTATGATTTCAATACTATGACTTTTAATTTGACGGATACTACCGATTACCTCTTCACGGTTATCCGTGTAAAGGTCAAGCGCAGGTTTTTTAAAAGCAAGGGTGAACTTTCTAATAATGGACTAAAGGTGATCATTTCGGAAATACAAGAGATGGGAAAGAAAGATGTGCAGGTGTCTGTGACTAGTGATGCATTGCAAGAGAATTTGGAAAAAATCAAGAAAGATTCATGTAACAAGGAAGTGGGAAAATTTGTAAATGAAATGTATAGGATCGTAGATGGATTGCATTACAATGTCACTGGTTAAAGTTAGGATCTCTTCATTTAAATCATTTAAAACAATCTTTATACGTTAAACGAAAAATTTGTTTTTCGGTGACCTGTTTAATATACTGAAAGTGTTGATAACTGTTGATTTTATAAATATTAATTTTAAAATATTTCTTCGCTTTAATAAATTTTTGAATTATATCTTGAAAAAAAAAATTATTTTTTATTTTAAAGAATCGAAACTTGTGATAAAACATTAATCCTATATTTTTATTATTATTTTTTTTTTTTTTTTGGATTTCCGATTATTTTACTCTTACAAAATTGTGAACCCCACAAATTTCCCATTTTAGATTATTATAAACAGCACATTTCTTAAAATGGATGATGACAAAGTGGGTGGGGTAAAAATTTAAGGACATAATTTCTTGGACACTTTAAATATAGTGTCGATCAACAAACATAATCAGATGAGTTGTACTAAATGTTCTCGTTACGTACTCTAATCTACAATAACAATGTGTACATCATGACAACAAACAATCGTAGGGTCTGTCGATATTTTATATTAATGATCGAATGATTGGATGAAAGTATGCCACGTAATAGGACCGAAATATTGTCCGGTTGGTAATGTACAGAAAACGTCAGTTGAAAAATAACATTATTTAAGGATTGTCAAATCACCACCGTTAAGTGATTTCTCATAATTTAATTTGATCTTTTGTCGCGACTTTTTATCATGAACATTGATAATATTAAAGTTCCTACCAATTCTATTGGTTTTATCAAAGGCAGAGGAGGGGCTAACATTATGGACATTCAAAGGCGCTCCGGTGCTACATGTAATATAAACGGAAATAACATCGTTGTGACCGGCTCGAATGAAGCCCGCCGCATCGCCATAAACTTGATCGAAGATTGTGTTCACAATTCCACCGTCGTTTACAACCATCCTATTGAGGCGGTTATCGCACTTCGACCGCCATTGGTCGGACTTAAGAGAGTATCGTTTGTAAAGTATCAAGGAAATGTAGATATGAATAATGTCAATAAGGCGCTATTTGTTTTAGATGAAGGAGAGGAGTTGGGCGTGGATGATGAACTTGATGAGCTATCACACATGGAAAATCTGAACCTTGAGTATGTAATGATATCACATGTTTTTTAGTTAATTCTTACTAATGAACTGAAACGTTCCGCTTAGTTTTAGCAGCATTATCGCCCCTAAAGATGATGAACCCTTAGTAGAACTTATCACCGAGCGCCTCATCGAACAAATCACAAAACCCAGTAACAAGGATCGTGACTTCAGGATCAAAGTGAATATTGGCAAACAGCTCTTTTATCCAGCAATTAAGACGAATTTGTTGCTCCCACCTTCGGTCCCTCTTGCTCGTCTCCTTAAATACAAGATTGGTTACAAACGTGATGTCAAGGTTATTTTTATGAACCATATTTCCTTTGACATAGCAAAGATAATCGAAAGTCGTCTTGTTAAACTGGGGTACATGACAAACGATGATGAGTTTGTACAGAGAGCTTCTATCCATCTTATTGATGTCAATGCGAAAAAACGCTTTACCATCTCCACCGACATCACGTTAGAAGGCGCCCTCAAGATTCGTAAATACAGCAGTGATAGCACAAAACACCTTCTTTTGTCCTTCACAAGATCGAAATGCAATTTGGATTTTCGATTCAGAATCCTTTCCAAAGAGCCACCCATAAAAACAATACCTTCCAATCTCATCAACATAATTAACAAAGCCTCTTACGATCTTGGTGCCAGGACTATACATTTGAAGAATACTACCGAATTCACCTTCATAACTATCCGTGTCAAAACTAAGCGTAAGTTTTTTAACAGCAAGGGTGAATTTTCTAATGGTAGACTAAAGGTGACGATTTCTGAGGTACAAGAGAAGGGGAATAAGGATGTGCAGGTGTCTGTGACTAATGATGCATTTTATGAGATATTGGAAAAGATAAAGGATAAATCAGATGAAGCATTGGAAATAGAATGTAAGAAGGAAGTGGTGAAGTTTGTTAACGAAATGTATAGGCTTGTGGATGGATTACAATACGATTTCACTAGTGAAAATTAGAATATCATAAAATTAATTGACCATGATTATAAACCAATAAATTTTCCGCGGAATATGCAAATAATATTTATAAATAGACGGAATGTTTTTTTTTTGTAGAAATTATTGATAAACCGAATGTATCGTTCATTTTCAATAATTTCAAGATCAATTCGTGCAAACTTTATTCATAACTCAAATAAAATGTCAGAAGTAGGACCCGTATATAAAAGTATTCAAAAAAAGGTGATTAACATAATATCATTATTAAAGAAACGTAAATAAATTAATTTTAAATAAATGTTCTTTTCTTTTAAAAAGTTATCTGAAGCACTTAATCCAACATCATTAGAAATTATTAATGAATCTCATTTGCATGCACATCATCAAGCAATGAAAGATGTTACAAGCAAAGAAACACATTTCCGGTATGTATTAATAAACCTTTTTATGTTTAATCCAATTAATGTATAATTAAATTAAAAAATAAATTAATTGTAGTGTTTCAGTTGTTTCGGAACAATTCGAAGGAAAGGTAATAATAACAATAACAATTATTATTTTTATATATATTTATTATTAATTGAAATAACGTGTAGTTTCGTTTTAAATAGCTCTTACTGCAACGACATAGACTTATTTATGGATTGCTTGATGAAGAAATGAGTACAGGTGTTCATGCTTTAACAATAAAAGCAAAAACGCCCAAGGAGTTTTCCACCAGATTGACTAGTTAATTTTTTTTCCTTTTAACGATAAAACCTTGTACCTTAAGATATCAGAATTAATTCAGTATTTTCTTAAAGTTAATCTGTTTAATAATAAAATTATAAAATTAATTTAACTAAGTTTTAGAATTTCATTAACGTATATTCAATTTTTAAAAAAATTTGTTATATAGTAAATTCCATAATTATTGTATCACTTTATTTAAAATTTTTAAATGGTAATACGTGATCATATAACATGTAATATAAATTCTTTCTAATTATTTTTTTTTTAAAAAAAAAATTTTAAATAATAATAAAATATTTCATAATGTAATAATACATTTAATTCATAGACAGAAGGTTCAAACAATTATGTATTTTATCATAATCATAATGATTGATATTACCAATAATAAAGGGTTTTGTTTTCATAGTAAAAAATTATTTTTTTTTATTGTATTATTATTGTAAATTCCATAGAATATTGTATTAGTTTTAATAATAATAAAATAATAAAAACTACTTTAATTGCTTTAAAGGATCTGAACAGTATTTTTTTTTACAAAAAAAATCATAAAAAAATCTAATATACTTTCATCTAAATAGTTTTACAATAAATTTCAATGTCTTATATATTTTTTTTAACCAACTATATTTTAGTATATTGAAACTATATCTAGATTATAAAAAAAAGCTTAAATAAAATATATATTATAAAAATCTGAAAAATATTAATGCTATTACTCTCCTAAAATCTGATTTATATTGCATGCTTTGATAAACTTAATCAATCTGATCAATAATGATCTTATACTGTTTTGTTTTAATTTAATCATTTTTAATTCAAACTAACAATTTGGATACAGGTTCAACTTTCAGTATTTTGAATACAAGTATGATATGGTGAGCTACAGTATGTATATATGACATATATCCTTTTATGTTATATTATATATATCACATTAACCAAATGATGATTAATAGAAACCAATCGAATTAAATCTGAATTACATTTGATCTGATTAGCCTCTATTTTTTTTTTTAGAATCAGGTGATTCCAATTGATGACAAATAATTGCGTAAATAGGATATAATAGGATTCTAATCAAAATATTATAAAAATATCTATAGGATTATTCTTATTGATATCAATTTATTAATATATAGCTTCCAATTAGGTTATCCCTAAATCATCAATAGGAATAATAGGAATGGTCTCATTATTTTTTTATATAATATGTGAAATATAGAGCACCTTGATGTAAAGTTCAATCACCTATAGAAGTAAAGTATATATAACCTAAGAAATACCTTCAGAGTCTTAATAATAACATTTAAGAATGAGGTAACCATTCGCTTGTATTAATTATCCTAGCCATTTTCATCTGTGATTAAGGTTCTTGCTAGAACAGATCCTGTATGCTTGTATAAGATAGCTTTTTGCATAAGTATCTAGCTGGTTAAGTTTATATCAAATTTGAATAGAAAGATCACTTCTAATCATATAGGTATATCATTACCTATATATTATCTAACTAATATCACAGGGTTCATAGAATATTATTACAAGATTTGCCCAAATGGTAAACTAGTGAATGACTATTGTATTTGTTATATCAAACAACCTAGGAATCGCTGACCCTAGTGATATGTTAATTAGTCAATACTGGGATGTGTAATGCAATCTATTATTACTGATAATCTAATCGACTAAATTCTGATCAATTATATATATTTGTATATAGAAATAAAAGCCCCTGCTGAATGAAATATAAAGTTGTATTCATTACAAACTAATTAGTAAAGGTTAAGTTTCTGTTGATCTAAGGCTTCATTTACATTTACATGTTCTAATATCATGTTATATTCAGACATGAACAATGTTGATCAATGGATCAATCAATCAGATTTATACGCATATAAGTACATACATCTATCAATTTAACTATATATAAAATTCTTATAAAAATTATCTAATTTTATATATCAGCTGATACCTGAACTGATAGCCTATTACTGTATAATAAAACTTTAGCTTATAGGAAATTCGCAATTTAACTACTAAGCCAGGGATGCTGATCTTTTAAGATATTCTTATTTTTTTTTAATATGCAGTAGTTTTACTAAGTCTGAATTAAAATAATAAATTTATACAGAAATACAAAAATAAATATATAAAATGACGAAAATTTCTATTTACTTTACTCTAAATTATTACCAATAAAAAGAAAAATAAATCAAAACTAACCTTGCATATTTCTAGATTAATTACCTATAGAACAAATAACTATTAATAATTTAGAGGTATGATCCAGTCACTAATAATCTAAAAACCTAACCAGGAGATATCATAGTAAAAAGCATTAATAAATTGTGGAGGTATATCAATAGAATATTTAAAGAATGATTTAATAAATCCTGAAACTTTCCAGTTATCTTTCTTGCTACTGAGAGAGATATTATGTTATTGTTCGTATGCATTAAGTAAGAAACATCTATTTTTCCAGATGTCTTTAGTACAGTCATATACATGATAATAGATTAAAGACAAAATGGTATTGGTAGTTTGTTGAGAGAATCGAGACACAATGCCTTTAATCATATCAATAAAAATGAATTGTAAGGTATATGGTAAAAGATTCTATATTTTATTAATTAGAAGAGGCTGCAACCTATTATCGAGAATATTATTAACACTAATTATTTGTTATAAAGTGATAAGAAGAAACCTGTGAGTTGAAACTATAGCATTATAAATAATGTTCTAACTGACTAGACAGAGCTAAAGATAATCAAAATCTTCTTCTAAAATATTACATGCTAAGTATTGTAGATTATGTGAATAGAGATTGGGATGTTGATGATTAAGAATAGAATTACTAGGATCATTTCTAGGAAAAATTTCAACTTTTGTTTTTAAAATAAGAGGTTTAAAGGATGTAATTAAAGGATTATAATTATCATTAAGAACAAAACAGATAGCAAATCAATATATAGATTACTTTTTATATTTAGTGAAGTATAAAGAGTTGATAAATTGTATAAAGTATGCAGCCCAGAATGCTTTTTTAAGAAACAAATGAGGTGAAATATGAATTAGACTTTATTAATAACAAAATATATATTTATATCCAAAGGCTATAGTATTGTAAGATAAAGTATGAGTTGAATTACAATTTTTTGCAAGTTTATCTACTTTAGTGTTAAGGGTATCAAATCCATAAGCCTGTATTTTAGTGAAATTAATTATAAGTTATTTATTTGAAATTAATTTGAAAAGCACATACCAAATATCATGGTAATCTATTTTGTATGTTGGGTTATTGGTCGAAAAAACAGTCAAAAGGTGTTAAAATCTTTTAAAATTATGGATTATGATCATCAAGTCATGTAAATATTGACTGTATTACCAAAAGATACTGTAGTAATGGCTGCTACTATGGTAGTTAGCTCAGTTAAACAAGCACTATGTGATAATATAATGCCTTTAATATAGCATTGAAAAAGATAGAAGAATTAATTGAATCAGTAATCAACTAGATATAACTCATTTTAGATAAAGCGGTATCTGCATTAATAAAGAAGCTATCAGTATAAAACTGAAAATAAGAAGTATTAGTCAAAGAATGTGTAATGTTAAAAAGTTGAAATAAAGAAAAAAGGTTGAAAAGAGAAGAAAAAGTAAAAGAATCTATAAATAGATTTAAAAAAATAAAAGTTGATTTAAGATATGCAGTAAAGGTTAAATCATAAAACATAATATGAGAAAAACTGCATCAAAGTTTTATAAAGTGAATAAGATTAATATAGATAGTAACATAAAGCATTTTATTATATATAAAGAGATATCCACTTTTTCTATATTAAGATTTATGGAAAAGTATTAGCATCATTAAAAAAACAACCATTACATAGCAACATTGTAGTCATATGATTAATTGCTTTTGAGAGGATAAATATTGAATAGTAAAAAGTTAATTGTTGACATATTATGATTCTACCAGAAAATAGCTAATTCTAACGTTGAATGCTAATAAAATGACAAAATTATTAATATTATTAGTTTTGACTGAAGATAGAGAAATAATAGGAAGTTTATGTTGATATGACAAATGAAAGTTACTTGCTATCAATCTGGTGGTAGGTTCTATGTTAAAACATCTTTCTATGTATTTAAACCATTGAGGTATTTGAAGTGGTATGCATTAATTATTATATACTTTGTATTAACATATGTAAAGAAAGCTAATCCATTAGCAGAAATAAGTTGTTTATAGTATATTAAGCCTTTAGGATAAATTGTAAGAATAATTGTCCTGTATAATAATTGATTAAATTTAGTATGTAAAGATATAGATCCTCCTTTAAAAGTATTATTATGATGCAAGTGAGCCTAAAAACTAATATTCAAATTTCTAAAGGCAAAAAGTAGCACTGCAATCCAATCTTTAAAGGACGTTAGATCATTATGTGGCTATTCCTAGAAAGGTGAAGTTAGAAACTATTTAAGTATTTGTCTAATTGGTAATATAATAGATATCAGACTGCTCCAACTACTATTATTATTGGAAATATTATTAAGAACAGTCATTTATCTTGGATTTGGGAGTCATACAAATGAGTAATATTGTATAAAAGAGGATAGACTTGATGTTATATAAATTGTTTGTTATATGACATAGAAATCCAAATTTCTAAATATCTAGTTAAGAAGTTATATTTGACTAGTATAAGATTAACTGATGCAGATTGAAGTTGGAAATGAATAGAATTCTAATTTTTGAATAAAAAAAAGAATATAGATTTGTCTTAATTGACCTGAATCGAATTTAAGGTATAAAACTGTCTGTAATTTCTATTAAGTTATTGAGTGAACTTTATAATTGCTAAGCCAAAGAGTATTTATCGTCTATATAGACAAGAGCAGGTATATGCATTTTGTAATGATATCAATATGATGAAGTCACATATAAAAAAGAAGAATTCATATGAAAATGATATTTCAAGTCAGTAGCTTGTACTTAGCA